GAGTCTTTAATAAAGATTTATCTTTTTCTATTATCTTAATAATATAAATATTAAATTTATTAGTCGAATCGATAGAAATATTAATAATATTATTTTATTTAAGTATCTTATACTTATAGATATAATAGTCTTTCTTATAATAATTATAATATTTAATCTTCTTAAAATATTTTTTATTCTAAATCGTTTTATTATATAATTTAGATATATCTCGTTTATATAAAGTATACGCTTTCTTATCTTTATAAAATCAACTTTCTTAGTTCTTCTAGAATTTATCTTTCTTATAATTTTAAGAATTAAAGATTTTCTTAATACGATAATTATATAAGAAGCGTATATTTATTTTATACTTAATATTTTTTAAGCGTATAATTAGCGAGATTAACTTATTTCTATTTATTAAGATAATATTTATATTAATAATAATCTCTTAAATCTTTAGATAAAGTCTTATTATTAATTAAATAATTCTTTATTATTCGTTATATAATAATAATTAAGTCTCTAATTTAATAAGATAAATATCGATTTAATATATAATCTAACTAGTTCTTTATCTCGTATTTATATACTCTTAATTAATATTAAATTACTTATTAATAAAATTCTTAATTTTATTAAAAAGAAATTTCTCGAAATAGCTTTAGCTATTTAAGATTATAGAATTTCGTTTATTCTTATTATACTATTATTTTTTAGAATTCTTTTTAAAAAATTATATTATCTAAAGAATTTTATCTCTTTTAATCTTAAAATTTCGAGAGTTAATACGAAACGCTATCTTAGCGTTATAAGTTTACTCTTAATATTTATATATAGATTTATTATAATATAAATTTAATTTTTTCGAATAAATATTATAAGAATATCTTAATATATAAATCGAAGTTCTCTTTAAGATATATTTTAATCTTATATTAGAATCTAGACTACTTTCGCGTAATAATAATAATAATATATTAAAATTACTTAGCGTGTAGTTATTATATACTTTACTATATTTAAAAATATCGATTTTTTTATTAAGAGTTATAAAACGACGTCTTTTTAATAATAAATCTTAATAATAAATACGCTACGCTATTTATTTATTAACGTCGAAATTAATAATATCGCTATTATAATCTTTAGTCGATTAGCTTTATTATTACTTATATAATCGAGATTTATTAAATTTATAATTTAAGATAATATTTTATCTAATAATATTTAAGATATAAAAGATTTATTATTATTTTTACTTCGTTATAATTATAATCGAGTAATAACTATTATATTAATTTTCAATTACTATTCTTTAAAAAATAAAAGAATTAGAATTATTAAATAGACTTATATAATTAAGTATAAATAGATTTAAAGTTATATAATAATATAAATTTAGTAGTAAATATATATATATTCGTATATAGATCTTATAGTAAGACTAATTCTTATAGAAGTAAGAAGAAAAAATAGAGAATATTATCTTCTTAAGCTTCTATATTAAATCTATATACGTTAAAAGTCTTAGCTATACTACGACTTCGCTCGATAATTAAATTCTCTTTAAGAATCTCAGCTAATACTTACTATATTAATTAATTAATTTTTAAATTTTTAGAAAATTCTAGCTTAAATATCTTAAGTAAAATTATAAAGTATAAAAATACGCTTAATGTTAAAAAGTATCTCGGCTATTTTATAAACGCTAAGACTATCTTAAAGAAATATATATATTCTATAAGACTTTTATTTTACAGAATAATAAATAATTAAAATCCTCTATAAATTAGAAACTTGAAGATTTAATATCTTTTTAATAAACTATAAAATTTCTAGAGTATTATAAATTATTCGTGTAAAGTTATTTAAGAAATTTCAATATTCGAATTTTCGAGGGAGAGATGCTTACGGCAACTTTTTAGTTTTCTAGAACTTACCCCTATATTCTTAATCATTAAGAAATAAAAAAGTTCCCGCAAGCACCCCTCCTGTCATGGTTTCAACCGGCATTCCTTCTCCAGACTTGCGCTAGGCTCTATTCGGGCTAGCTCCTTGGCGGCTTGGCACTCTGATGACTTCGGCACACATGTTACTTAGCAACCTTCATAGTTAATATTCCATTCATATGACACCACTAATATCATTATTCGATACACGGTTCATTCCCTGACATAATATTAACTATCCAACATAGCCGTGAGCTAAGCTATTGTTGCCTGCCTACCTGCCTGCCTGCCTGCCTGCCTGCCCTGCCTCTGCGGGGATCTCTCGAATATCGACTACTCAATCGCCTTGTTGTGGAGGAGATATTCGGACGATTCCCTGCCTGCCTGCCTGCCCTGCCCTGCGGAGATCTCTCGAATATCGACTACTCAATCGCCTTGTTGTGGAGGAGATATCCGGACGATTCCCTGCCTGCCTACCTGCCTGCCTACCTGCCTGCCTGCCTGCCTGCCCTGCCTCTGCGGGGATCTCTCGAATATCGACTACTCAATCGCCTTGTTGTGGAGGAGATATTCGGACGATTCCCTGCCTGCCTGCCTACCCTGCCTCTGCGGGGAGATATTTCGACTATCTCTCGCTTGCCTTACCTGTTACCTGCCTGCATCAGTGGAGAGATCTCCACCTGATCCGTTATGGACTCGGATCAAGAAGAAACCCGTCCTGAATCGTCATTGACGATTCAGCATTACCAGGCCCAGATTCGTGGCCTCAACACTACTATTCAGAATCTCAACACAACCGTTCCGCCTAGCCGCATGCGGCTAGCGCATTCAAATCAGTTTCGATTCGGCAAATCATCGGACTTTGCGTTTTTGAACGAATTGGCCTCATTCGATTTCGATTTTTTTCACGTTTTTCGGCAATGCGCCAAAACCACGAATCCATCACACCACCTCTCAGCACCCCACACCATTACTTCAAGCACCTTCCCGGGCTATTGCCCCACATTGATACCCCTGTTGCCTGCGTCCGCAGGCCTGCTACATGAGATTTGGCTCAATGCCACGGTCAGACACTGAGAGTGTCTGCGAGAAAAAAGTTCAAAGTTGTTGTTTCAGGGGGTAGTAAATATGCTTCAGACTATAAAGGCCAGTGCACCATGGATCATGACGATCGTCTCGCTGTTGCCACCTCGCCGTCGCCATGATTTGGACCATAGGGACATGGCCATTTGAGGGGGGGGTAATGTCATGGTTTCAACCGGCATTCCTTCTCCAGACTTACGCTAGGCTTTATTCGGGCTAGCTCCTTGGCGGCTTGGCACTCTGATGACTTCGGCACACATGTTACTTAGCAACCTTCATAGTTAATATTCCATTCATATGACACCACTAATATCATTATTCGATACACGGTTCATTCCCTGACCCCTCCCTCGAAAACCAAAAATTGAAATTTCTTGAATATCTTTACAATCACCACTCTTTATAATCTATAATTTTTATAATCTTTTCTCATAATACTAAATAATTAATTTTAAGAATTTTAAAAGATTTTAATTTTTCTATCGTAAGATATAGTATAAATTAAAAATATACGCTTTACGTTGAAAAGTTACCTCGGCTATTCTATAATCGCCAAGACTTATCTAAAAAATCTTAAGAATTTAATAGATTTTTATTTTACTATATAGTAGATAATAAGAATAATTTAAAAATTATAGATCTTGATCTTTATTATATCTTCTTATAGTTATAAAGTTTTTAGAAAATCATAATTTATCGTTGTGAAGTTATTTTAGAAGTTTCATTTTTCGATTTTCGAGAGGGGGGTGCTTGCGGGAACTTTTTTGTTTTCTAATGATTAAGAATATAGGGGTAATTAATATAGGGGTAATTAATATAGGGGTATAAGACTATTTAAGAAAAGCACTTTTTTTGTTTTTTGAAGGGGGGTGCCAAAATCGCGATTCTAGTTTCCCAATGATTAAGAAAATAGGGGTAAGAGATATGGACATTGTTAGTCGCCTGGAGGGAAATCTGGTATAATGTAGCTCACCTGGGTAGGAGACGGCTTCTGGTCGTCTCAGAGGCTGGACATGCTAAGATTAGTGACTCGCGCAAAAGCAGCAAAGTACCACTTCGCAGAAGTGTCCATTGAATGACGATAGTCTATAAGCCATCGGACCTTCCTCGACTGATAGCGATATGGGGCGAAGGGAGTCTTTGACTGTCGCAAGATCGAGAGCAGCCGAACCTTCTACGAGGCTCACGGATCCCCTAATACAGGATGGGAGAAGCGCAGCGACGGCAGTTACCTTACCCATCTGCTCGACTACTGAGTAAACAGCCTCCGACGGGGGGTGAGCGGATACTTACACTCACCTATTATAGTGTCCCAACATCTACACATCTGATCCCTTAGGGTCTTTGCCACGAAGTTTGTACTGTCTTTGAAGCTGTCCTCGGGGTGGTAAGCTCCTGACTCGTAGACGTTGGCAATTGCTCTCTACACAATCCACTTGCCTAGCACTACTGTGGATGTTCATATTCACATAGAAAAATGAGGAGATGGGGGGGGCTTGGAAAGGAAATATTACGAGAGGAAATTAAATCACTGCACATTTTGCAACTCGAAGAGCAGGAGCCTGCGGCGCAGCGCTATACAGCTATGGGAAACCTCTCTGGTTTATCTTTAGACAGCAGCGTGTCGAATTGCGGACAACAACGATTCCCGTGAGACCCGGCAATTTCTCCAACAGATTCCTGATGTTAAGATCACAGAGCCGTCGAAGCTAAATGAAAAGTAGATCGTATGCTTACAGAAGTGACCCTTATCGAGCTACTCTGCTGGGTAAACATTTTCTGGGTATAAGCTCGGCAAGCCGCTGATTGCTTGAATGACTCTCGGACAACAGCGATATGCAACCGGGTATCCCACCTCGTAACAAACTACGTGGGGAAAATATTGCATATCGCAGTCTACTGACCTAGTCAGCAAGAGCGTACCCTCGGATATCCTCGTTCGAGATTGTTGATAAGCATCAGATGAAGAGGATCAACCGTCGCTCAATCTTGTTCTTTGGTATCACTCTCGGGCTTGCTTATGCGCCTCTCTTTTTGTTCCCTCTTCCTTCGTTTTCGCTCAGCCCTTTCTTCTGACGTTTCCTCCTCCCTTGCCTTTCTCTTCTTCCCTCCTCCGCCTTCTCCAAGCTCGGCCTCTGCAACCGCTGCTTGGCCGCTGACGGCAGGAGCAGGAGGCCCCACCACCAAAGCATCAGAGCCTGAACGTGTAGTGACAGGCGGGCCAAGGGTAGAGCCATTGATACTGGAGGGGGCGTTGAAGTCGGTATAATCCTCTTGCCATTTGACAGGGGTGGCCTCGTTTGGTCGACCATATTTCTGCAAACAGTCAGGCTATCTCGACTCTTTTCAGACCACAAAATCCAAGGCTTACATCGAGTTTGCCGTCCGATTTCATCTTCTTTTTCTCGAGAGCGACAGCACCTAAGCCCCATCTTCGTGGGTATAAATCACGTTCCATGATACATCGCTTGACCTTTGCTACGACCCCGTGGTCGCAGCTAGAGAGCTCCACGGTAGACATTTGTGCAATGCCGAGAGCAATAGCTTCGCCTTTTGTTGTCATCAACACAACTTCTTCGTGGACGTGAATTTCGCTCTCTGTTCCGGGTTAATATGGACGAAATGTTGGGAGGGAACAGGACTTACCGTAACGTAGGAGACCCGGGATCATTAGCTTCGCTATGAAATATGAGCACTTCGGTCGATAGATTGAATGTTCAAACAGACACCTACCACCATAGCAAACAGCATTAACGGCGCTATCTTTAACTACGATTCGTTTGTATGTGGTGAGCAGACTTTCCAATGGCTGGACTACCTTTCTCAGGTATGACTCGTCCCGAGTATTATCGAAGCTCCATCTGTAAAAAGCGTTAATATGAATCCATCACAGGATTAGCCGTGGGACGTACTGTGCATCGAGGACATCGTGCAGCGTCACCGAGCCTTGACGTTCGTCCATCGCCCCACTTCGCACTCTTCTCAGCTCTTGCATATGCGCCCCTACCCCCAATATCAAGCCCAAATGAACGCACAGTGTCCTGATGTACGATCCAGCCTCACAGCTGACCCAGAAAACGCCGAGGTGTCTTTCATTGTCGAACTCATAGAGCTTGCTCTCGTATATTGTTCGGATACGCAATTGACGTTTAACAGCAGATATCAATGGTGGACGCTGGAATAATGATCCAGTCAAGGTCTCCAACGCTCTGTTCATTTGTGCCTCCCCACCTGGTAGCCTGTCATGGAGCCTAATTACGCAGACGTATTCCTTACCAGCTCCCTGCTGACTCTTCACAAGCCTTGTTGCCCTATCAATACATACGATCAAACAGCCCGTCACGCGAGGATCCAAAGTGCCGCTATGGCCTGTTTTCTCAACCCGAAGTATTCTTTTGATCCATGCGACAACCTCGTGACTCGAAGGATTAGAAGGCTTGTCCAAATTGATCACCCCGGACCGTACATAGTCGGCAAGGTCCCGCTGTAGGGGATTGGCACCGCAAGGAATAGGCGTAAAGTGACCTGTCCTAACGAGCAGTCTGCTGTAGTCCTTCAACAGCAAAGGCCATGAACTGGTGTCAAGCTGAGGCGTCGTCGCCTGAGGTTTGATAGAATAGTCCATGTCTTGAGTAAATGAGCCTACATCCATTGTGACAGCTTCGCACAAGCGCAAAATTTTCAAAGTTGAGGTAAAAGTCCGGGAGGTCTTCCGACGTGCTAGGGGGCTGGTGCGACTGAAGATAATAGATGAGGAAGGTCAGCCGAGAAAGCATTACTTGACAGTGATGCATTTGATCAAAACTTTGCGGCCAACCACCACCATGCCGCCATCAGTACGACTTCTACAGCACACGGTCCGTGTCACTCTCTTTACCCGCGAAAATTGCTCAATCTGCGAGAAAGGAAAAAAAGTGATTCAGGAAATAAGCAAGAGGAGGACTTTTGACTACCGCCAAGTGGATGTCATGGCTTCTGATCAACAGCAGTGGAAGCCTCTCTACGAGTTTGATACTCCTGTGGTAGGCATTCCAATGCCCTTGTAATAAGGCGCAGCTAACCCGAGGCCGAAGCTCCACGTTCAACGCGTTTTCCATACCTACTCGAAGCCTGATATTGCCACGGAAGCTTGCAAATTGATGCATTATTTTGACGAAAGACAGGTGGAAGAGCTCATCAATGAGGCCGAGGGACACTCATAAATCCATTACCCGCTCCGCAATTCGGGGCAAATAAGTACATAGCTTATGCCCTTACGGAGTAAGGTGAGGCTAGCTTTCTTGTGAACCTGTCATCTTTGCAAGCCCTGACATTGCTCCCTTGCCCATATTCAGTGCTGAATGAACGTAAGAGCCTCTGGCCGTCGTCAACGCAGAAGTCATGTACGCCGGCAATGCAACCATATCCGTCATCACTGACACCTGCATGAAGCAGTAGCATATCAGCAATGCCCAGCCTTGTGCATCTACTGCTGATTCATATCGTACTCCTGCAACATGGGCTGAAAGCAACGAATGCCGAGGACTTACCATGTTGAATCCCTGGTCAGCGAACTCACGAGCTTGATCACCCGACGTGGAATATATGCCACTGCTCTTTTCGTTCTCCTTCGCTGCTCGGTGGATCTTGGCAATGGCTTCTTTCAGCTCGTCATGCATTGTGCCGTCGACAATTGAATGCCCGATATTATTTCCCAAATCGAAGGGGCCCACAAACAAGACGTCTATTCCCGGAACCTTTGCTATAGCATCGACCTAAAACGGGGCAATTAGCGCCACGCGGTGGAGAACGAGATTCTGTCACGTACGTTTTCTAAGGCTTCTTTAGTTTCTATCTGCACGATGGTCACCAACGAATCGTTTGCCTGCTGCAAGTACTATGAAGATTTCGGGGTCAGCTTTCCTCCTTCAATACAGCCCGAGTAATGAAGTCTTTAAAAAATTTACTTCTGCCGAGGTCTGGCCCCCAAACTTCTCCATTGGAAAAGGAGATCCGAAACCTCTCGTCCCCTCCGGAGGGAACTTGGCTGATTGCACGACTCTCTTTGCGTCCTCTGCGGTGTATAAAAGGGGTACAATGATGCCATGAGCTGCAGCTCTCGTTAATAGGAATACTTTTGAATATCTGTTCTTTGTTTTGGTAGAATTCGTACCTCCGGAATCGAGTGCACCTGCAGGACAGTTAACGGAGTTTACCGTTGCACTGCTATCATGGGCCCTCACGCTTGACCATCCAGCCTTCATTAGCTGCTATGCGGACAATTGGGCTGACCCCACAACCTGCAATTGCTAGAGCTGGTTGTCAGTGCCTAGAGGGTAATCTATTGTTCTATGTGACATGAGCCAGTGATTGTTTTACCTGCAACAGCCTCGTGCATGGCGCTGTCTACTGAGTGTCAGTGGCCAGCTGGCGCTGGTGCTGTTCTGTGTGACACCAGCAACTGATTGTGTTACCATCAATGTTTCCATGCTCTGTATCTACCAAAACCCAGTCAAAACCGCAACGTGCTATAGTCCTTGCCTGATTGCTCCCGGGCAGCATTTGCCAACTGGAAACCAGTCAGTTCGCACGCAATGCTCAATCGAACACTCAAACATACGCTCCGAAGGTCAGGCCAGAGCCCGTTCTGAGGGCCATTTGTAGTTTATTGGCAGCCTGCATTTCAAAAGTGTTACAGAGTATCAAGGATTTGATAAGTTTCTTATGAGACCTATTTCACAAGACCTTCTTTGTGCAGCAGTGGATCTGGATCATTCCCTGGTGGGACTGTCAGTTGGAATGATGCAACCCCGCGTTTGATAAGATAAGATAAGATAAGATAAGAGAAAGCAGAAAAAGGAAACCCAGTCTCGAACATGCTATCCTTTTTGTAGCAGCAGACCAAACTGAGTATGAACCGCGCAATCTCATTACAATCTCCTGACATCTACTTCAACAACACCCCAAGCCCTCGAAGGCTTCGGCCGTGAGTAAACGGACAATAAAGAGCCTGGAGAATATTGTTGCTTGTGAATTGGCTTTTTGAGAAATGACTGAGACTATTTGTTCAGCATTTTGTAGCTGTTTTCTATTGTTGCCTAAGTTTAGTTAAAGAATGCAGAGTTCGTAGTTTGGTAGAGACGAGTCATCTTCTGGAGCAAGAGTCGATGCAATCGGGTCCGCGAGTGAGAAGCTTGGGCCCTGTATCCTTGTTGGTGGAGAAGCACGACACATGTACCCAGAGCTACGTAAGTCTTCGGACCTACGCCATCTCTCGTCCTCCGAAGCAGAAGCTGTAAGCTGTCTTCGTTCCGATAGACGCTCAACTTCCTGTCTTCTCTCGTCTTCGAAGTGGTCATAAGCAGATGCCTTTACTTTCTTCGGTGATAACATCCTTTCCGAAGCAGACGAAGTGAAAGGGAAAGAAGCCCAGACGGCCTCTTGTTCAGCAGGGTCAATAAAATCATCTTCGGCCCCTTCCCCTGAATGCTGATCATATGAAGAGTGCATGCGTGCGAATAAATGTCTCGCATCGTACTCGCGTCTCGATTCTGCTCTGCTACGCTCACGTGGCAATGGCAAATCACACCAGAGACAGACGCGTCCTCCAAAGCCTTCCGATTTCGGCTCTGAACATCCTTTGCCATGGCATTGTTTGTTTCTGATGTCGAGGTTTGAATTTTGCTTGGTCTTGCACCTCAAGCACAAGTGTCCATCTTTAGCTGTGCAGATACATTTTGTACGCATGAGATAGGAATTCAAAACAATATTTTCTTCGCCGTTCAACGAAGTTTCTTGGTGAGGATTCCCTGAGTCGAAGCATTTGGCACAGAGTGAGCACATTCGATTTGGGAATGTGTTCTCGTCACGCCTTCCGAACGAAGCTTTGATGATACAAACCTCACAAACAGGCATGGAACACATCAGGCATCCATTGATCTTGGCACCTCGAGTGTGCTGAGGCTCTGAGCAACATAGCAGACTTTTAGCTTTCAGATTCTTCCAATGCGAGGTGTCGTGCCTTCCAATAGACAGAGTTGGACGCACTGCTTTGAGCGAAGATGGCTTTTCGAGGGATCTGATGGGAAATCCATGCACGGCCGCACGGAATTTTGAATTCGCTTTCGACAGGTTGAAAAGATCACCAAGTAATAAGACAGCCACGAGATTCTCTAGTATTGGATACGCGCATAGCAGTTCAAGTAGAGATGCCATGATTATGAATGTATTAAAAAGTATGCTTTACGAAGATCAGGGTCGAGAACGAGGCAACACTAAGGTATGTGAGAAGGAACTGGAGGACTTTTATTGACTATGAAACTCAATCTCCTATACCCGGCAGAAAAAAGAAGTTCTAACATCGATGCAATCTAACGTTCGAAACTTTGGAGAAAGATCGTCGGAAGCTTCGGAGGCACGGAGGTCATACTTGTACTTGGTCCGGAGAATCTTCGGCGACGATCGTTGCCGCGCGAGGCGCCGCTCCGGTCTATCAAAACTCAAGCCAGCCTCCCCGCACGTACCTATATTATGCGGTTCTTTTAGGTGCAAAGGCTAGAGCACTAACCCTAAGCTTGTAGGGCATCTCGAAAAAAATCTCAACAGTTCTCGTGTATGCACGCAGTCGAGATCCTCCCCGACCGGTATTCTGGTAATTCAGTTGACCATATCAGCTTTGCCAGTATATTTCGAGCCTCTTGAGATCCATTGACGCTGGTGAATAGGCTTCGAAAATCCTGAATCAGAAACAGCCTTGCTATCTCCTCCTAACATAGACTCAGTGTTTCATAATTCATAATATCGCAATCGGGATTACTTACGGCATCCTTCAGCTCGTTCTCTTCCTTCTCCGAGATTTTCGCGCATGCAATTACCAGGTCCTCGCCTTTTGCACTGATATCCAAGAGGTAGTTGGCCCTGTCAACGATTGTCGCGTCAACGCCGTTCAAGGTCGCGCAGCTTAAGTATCAATTAGCGAGATAACCCATGATGCTTGGCAATGCCTCACCAGCTGCCATAACTCGTATTACTACGGCCGGCTCGAAAGCTATTTGTATGGTCAGCGGAGCTTTGGCATTGTATCGATGTTCGTACTTATATAGATAAGTTACCTGATCCTCTAGGTCTTTTGCCTCACGATCGAGACGCACCTCCATATAGCCGTAGGTTAGGGAGGGTCGAGGTTGCAGGAATCCGTTTTCGATTATCTCATGAAAGTGAGTGGCACCCAGAACTTTGGGTCTGTCAATTCCGAGGCCAAGGAAATGCTCAAAGACGCCGCAGGCTAGGCCGGCACCATCTTGTAAACAGAGTCAGTAATGAAGTCGTAGTTTCTGAAAGAGAGAGATTCTCTTCAAAGGGTATTGTACCGCTTGAGTCAGTTCCTTTGCCAAACTCATCAATGATCACTAAGCTCCGGTGTGTTGTCAGCGTCATCGCAAGAGCAACTTGCTGCAGGTCAATCATGAAGGCACTCTGAGAACGTGATACGGTCTCTCTAGTAGCAATTCGAGTCAATATCTTGTCCGTCAGCCCCACAATCGCGCGGTCTGCCGGTACAAAGCAGCCGACGTGTGCCATATACACAATTAGTGCAACTTGTTTGAGATAAACGCTTTTGCCGGAATAATTTGGTCCGGTCATAATCAGCATGCTGGGTCCTTCCAAGGCGTCGGAGTCAATGGTTTTCTGGAAGACTTCCCTAGTCGCCTCGTCGTTTCCAGCTTGGACTTCTTGAAATTCGGTCGGGTCTGGGGGGCCAGGTCCTCCAACAAGGAAGGTATCGTTGGGAACATATGCTGGAACTGTGAGCTCTTGCAACGCATGCCTGCTAGAGTCAGCATTTGTGCCATCCAGGCAGAAGTCCGAGTGGAAGAATGGCTCACCGACCACCTATGGAAATTGTGGAGTCAGCATTAATCCTTGAAAAGCAAAATTCCGAGCATTAGACCAACGTGAAGGAATACCAAGACTAAGAGCCTTTCGCTCACGAAACATGCTTTACAGCCAGGACTTTGGCCCGGAATAGGAATTTTATGCTCCGAACATGGACATACCTTTGATCTGAATGACGTTATTGCGTGTTATACGTGGTCTGGAGAACTTGTAACTTCTTGCCCCTTGTGCAAGCGCGAGAAGGCTATGATGGTCAGTGAGTAGAGGGAAGTGGTCTGTTTGTAAACCGACCTATCTAGCTCTCCACAAATATCGGAGGCTTGGTTTAGCATAGCTTCTTGCTCTAAAACTCGCTCCCCGAGCTCATGGATGATCTCTATCTCTTTATCTGCGGGTTGTCATCGGCCATTCCACTGATACTGCCAACATCTCGGGGCGTACCGCAGATTACAGCATACATGTCTCCTAGCGTTTCGTCAAGCTCACGCATTCGGAAATCCTTGTAGTATACTCTCGTTGCCGTTGAGAAGATGCGATCCCAGTGCTGATCCTGTATCTCACCTCCTTCCCAGTCGCCTCTACCAGTGTCTGGATTGAGTGGTATTGAGATCAAGAAGCCGATCTGGGGGAAGAAGATGACATTCAAATCGAGACTAAAGATTGCCGGTATCGTCGCGGCAATTTCTTGAGAGGTTAGATTTAGCAAATCTTCGATGCCGTCGTAGGTCCGTTTCATGTTGTCCAACTCAGCGCTGACACCCGACTTGACCACAGTGCGATGCATATCCGCAGACGCGACGAAATCAACCTGAGACGGCGGATTTCAGCATGTGGACTTGATTCTTCCGGGACGAACCAGAATTGCGAGTGCATACTATCCCACTAACGTTCCTTCCTATTCTCGCCAGCCCGTGAGGATCGAGCTTCTGAAGAATCTAGCTCTTGTTTTCAGCTACTCGGGAGCAGATGGTAGGAGATTTCGGTGCCCACTTTCGTTCCAATCTTAAGACTCTCCATGCCGTTTACCTCTGCCAGAGCATCCCTAATTTGCAGCGTATGAAAAGCGAACTACAACAATTAGCATGAATCTTCAGTATTCAGATGCCTTACCGATCGGAGACTCGACCAGATGCCGCTCTTAATCCCACCTCCTCTACTCAACCCATTGCTGATACCCTTTCTCAGATGTATCATCACCGTCCTCATGTTCTTTATCTGACCCAAGCTCTTAACGATACCATTCATTGGACCATTGTTGTCTGGTCTCAAGAACACGCTAGCGGTCTCGAGCCTCTGGTTGATCACGTTCAAATCTAGACTCGGGCGCAGAAAGTACTGCCGGAGAAGATATTTGCCTTGTGGGGTCCTTGCAAAATGGTGAAAGAGGCCGTAGACAGAAAGACCCTCCTTCGATCCAGAGGAGGCATTCGTTGGGCCTTGGCTGTGTGTATTTGGGTTGGATTCTGACTGCAGTATCTGTAAAGAGGCCAAGGTGTCTGCATTGACGAACCTAGGCATTTCGCTTCAGCAGTATGCTCCACATTCGTCGGAAACACCGATGCTTACATTATGCCTTTCAGACTGAACATTTCAATTGTGGAGATACGGAACGAGTTGCCTGGGTTAACATCGTTAGGCAGGTATTTGACCGCTTTCCTCCTTGTTACGTATGTGAGTAGCGCACCAGCACATCCGATAGTTAAGCGGCTTTCTATATCGATCGACGCTGATAACCTTAGTAGTTGACCCTGACGGCCTGTATATCCTGCGTCGATACCCTCGCCGTAGTCATCGTAAGGATCATTATCTGCTGGTGTGATGAATGAAATCTCGGGGCTGCCGTCAGCGAAGAGGCGAAGATTGATGAGCTTGTTCTTCCCAGCGTCGTAGCTGAACTCTTGGGACGGACGAAATTCAAGCACGTAGGGCAGAGAGAATTGGTCACCTATCAGAGCACATAGAGCGTAAGCTGGAGCATTAAATGACGTCTGAGGTCCTTACTATCTCCGTTGGCTGAACCTCGACTCCTTCCATCTGGGTCAAAGTACCGCTCGACGGTCTCGTCCACTCGCATTGATAAAATGACCACCGTGGGCTGAATGTGCAGCTTCACTATCTCCTCATCAGTCCGTGGACAAGAAATTCCCAGAAGCATATTAACAAGTGCCAATTATCTCCAAGCCTCCACATTGAATATCCTCTACCAAATGCAAGCTGCCCGTAGAGGACTCGTAATAACAACAACCGACGGTGCCCCTTTCTCTCATGTCAACGCACATGATGACTTCGTCAGGATCGCTGTCCTCTTCTTGCTCCCCTTCAATGTCATTCTCCCGAGCTACATCGACAGCGGAAGCAGCAACGGAAGAGAGGCTGGAATGTCGATAGCCAGGACGTACATAGAAAGACGGAGCACTCGAGCCAGGATTGTTTCCGGGAAGATGCAGACCGACTCTTTTGGTAGGTCGTTGCTGAGGATGCTTGGTTCGCTGGTAATGACGAAGTGGAGATGATTGGACAAAGGATGATGCACGCGCGTCATTACTTTGGCTCACTGTTGGCGTTGCAGTGATGGAGCCATCACGACGACGCTTGGCGGCAATCATGGTCGCTTTTTAGGAGCGAAGAGAGCGACTCGAGAGAAGAGAGCGAAAGGCCTGTTGGTTTTGGAAATGTGCATAAGTTCAAGCGACCATTCCCGCCCAAGGAAAATCACACACTCTCCATATTATGGAGGAGACTTGGCAAGGTTGTGTTGGATTTCTCAAGACTATCTAAAAATGACATGCAATGTCTATCGAATGCAGTCGCTGTGAGCCGCGATCGATCATCTTTAACCTCGGTCTGTACAATAACCTTCTGATACTAGGGCAGTGTTCCATGCAGTACGCGCAACAGTCAAGAATCTTTTTTCTACTTATGTTCATCAGCCACAAATCTTGTCTCAGACTTGTACAGATAGGGCGGAGGAATGGAAGCAGTAAGGAAGACATCGAGGAAGAGCGTGTTCAATTACCCACAAGAGCAGAAGGCACCTATCTACATCCGGTGTTTGACATGTCAATAGTAACGGGCCGAAGCCCATTTGAAAGGCGGGCCTTCGCCTGGCCGGAAGCTTCTCCTGAGTTACCCTGCTCATACTCTCTTACAAAAAACAGCGAATCTGCATTTGGTTATGTACTTGGCAGAACTGTCAGACTATCTCCCCCATGTGCTATCTCCACTTTTGCTTGTTGGCCACTTCGAATCTCGCCTCTGATTACCCTGTCGGCAGACCAGTTGCAATCTGCTTGGAGATGAGGCGATTCAAATGCCTGGCTCCATATCGAGGGTCAAAAGCTTTCTCTGCTAGCCAATTCCTAATTTCATCGTTAAGCGCGAGCACGATGCGGCGGTCTTCAAGCCTAGCCTGCAACTCATTCAGGCGGATATCGACGATATCCCTTAAAGTTGACTTAGACAGACGACGGAAGAAATTGAACTCATCTAGTCTGTTGAAGAACTCTGGTGGAAATGCTGAGCCTACAACGGCCATGACTGCCTCTTTTCTAGAAGGTTATAGTTCTGACGAATCTTGATGTATTGGGTCAGCAATCACAAGTATATCAGCGCCGAGGTTGGACGTTAATACGATGTGGTGTTGCGAATGTCGACTTTGTGTCCTTGTGCATCTGAGAGAATACCTTTTGCGGCAGCAACAAGGGCGTTGTCAAGTATCCGGACTCCATGATGGACCTCCTACCTCTCCTTTAGACCTCGGAGAATGCTTACTGTCTCTTGCACGCTTGGCTCGCCTACGAGTATGGGCTGAAAACTCCGAGCTAGTGCAGCGTCCTTTTCGATTACTCGGTATTCGTTCAAGGTCGCCGCCCCACAGCATTGGACCTCCCCACGTGACAGGGCAGGCTTGAGTAAGTTTCCCGCATCCAGAGAACACTCTGCCTTGACAAGCCCCAACACAGAGTGCATCTCGTCGATGAAGAGAATCAATACGGGATCGTTTTTCGTCCTACGAGAAAGGATTTGAATGAGGCGTTGGATATGCTGGCTCATGTCTCCGGGATTAGCGTTGCCAGTTCATAATGGTATTTATGAGCCTTGAATCATGTTTACAGAAGAATAGACGTCAGGGCATGTCCCAAAAACACAACACTTGGTATGGAAATTTTTGCGTACCGAGTCACGCCCGATGACTGGATCTAGCTTTCCACCTCTTGCCTTCGATGTCAGGTTCACTCCATACTGTTCTGATGCCAATTCCTCTTCCTTCTTATCATTACCTAGGTTCATTCGATAGGTGCCTCCTGGTAGTCGCGGTCGACCGTTGGCGTAAGAACAGTGGTTCGCTCTGCAGAAGGAAACTGGGAATCGCGATTGGGATTCCAGCTGTTGCGTTCTCGGAGTACATGCTTTAGCAGGCCTCAGCCTTGAAGAAGGTCTCAGCGCTGAAGACGGACATCTTCTGCTCTGGGCAAACCAAGCACGGCTGCATGCTTGGGGCAGGATCCTCGACATTGAAATGGTGTGTGACGACACAGTAGGTAGAAAGTGGACATTACATACTAGTCCAAGTAAACGCTATCGATAATAAAGAGTATCATTTGAATCTAAAGCTTTGCCTTGTCCATGCAACCACCAAACCGTGTTGTAAATTGTAATTGAATCTGGAGTTATCTATTTCCCCGGATTAACCCTTTTCCTTAGCGCCCTTTCGCATATTCACGCTCCACAATTTTTTTGACTCCTTACGGCCATTGAAGAATAAGAACACCTTCGATTTCTCGTTCTATCGACTGCACACACTTAAAGGCCCTTACGTCGCACGAAAACAACCATAAGATGGGTTTCACTGACTTCGTTAACGACATGGGTCTTCAGAGTAAGCGATGAAGATTCTTCATAGTACTGTGAAACCTTGTTAACATGTCATGAAGCTTTGGAGTCATGGCTTCGCACAAGATCCTACATCACCGGGTAAGCTCTCGAGAAGCAGCTCGTCCTGCGTTGAATCCTCGTAGACATACCCTTTCCTTTCCCTTAAGGGCCTTTAAGGGGACTACCTCTTCCTTCTACTTTACCTGATGAGAATACATTGGTCCGTGTTTCTGAGGAGCCCAAGACACTCCTTGTGAAGAAATTCCAAGCGCCATGGGCGCATCTCTCTGACCCAGTTGTTTTGAACGCTGTTCCGATACTGAACCTCTTTTTGAACAGCCAATAGCTAATGATGATCAAGCTACGGTCCATCTCAAGCCGACGTCGCTACATTCAAAGCATTGAAGTCCACGCCTGAGCCAGCTAAATACCCTCACGCCTACCGCTGGTATAAGCACATGCAATCGCATGAGTCTGAATTTGGTTCGCTCCCTGGCGACCCTTCCAAATCACACACCGCCTACGGCCCTGAGCAAAGCGAACTTCCTACCAATCCCAAAGCACCTACTGCCGTTCCTGCAGCCGAAGCCGAGGATGATGAAGACGATCTCTTTGGGTCAGATGAATCGGAGGATGAGGAGGCTCAGAAGGTGAAAGAGGCAAATCTAGCGGCGTACAAGAAGAAGAAGGAGGGCAAGGTGAAGCCTGCGGCGAAGAGTATTGTCACGTTAGACGTCAAACCTTGGGGTAGGTCTGATGAGTTCAATTATGAGGGACTCTAGACTGACATTCTTAAAGATGACGAAACCGATATGAAGGCATTGGAAAAGAACATGCGCTCCATTGAGATAGATGGGCTAACGTGGGGTGCATCCAAGCTTGTGCCGGTAGGATACGGCATCAGCAAGCTGCAGGTCAATCTGGTCGTTGAGGATGAGAAGGTCTCAATCGACGACTTGCAAGGCCAGATTGAAGGCGACGAAGATCATGTGCAATCCACTGACGTGGTGAGTTAACTTTGGTCTGTAGAATTTGGATCATCAACTGACAATGGCATACTCCAGGCCGCTATGCAGAAGCTCTAGATAAGGCGATGGAAAATGATGTAAATAGAAAGCGTTGCTGCATGACCTTGGTCACTTGCCTCTATTCCACTTGTCACATCGACGGTGTCATGAATAGCATCCTCATAGACCAAAACAATGAGCTACAAAAATCAAAAGGCATACTTGCAGTCACTCATCGAACTTGCTTTGTATGTCAAGTGGGCTAAGCGCATTTATCATAAAGCGCCGACCCTGAAACGCGTTTTTTGTATAGGAGGTCTTTCTGGAGCCAAGAGAACCAAATCAAGCTCTAACTACACTTTATATGCCTATCAGCTCTTCTCTCGACACTTCACCTGGCATTGGGCCCCAAATTGATGTTGATGTTGACCCACACCTTGCTGAAAAGCCTCGATAATGGCCGTAGCGGGTCCTAGAATTGACAGTAACCTTACACATATGGCCCTGGGAGGAGACCATAGACCGAATCCCTGACGGTGCCTGGCATGAAATCGTGCAAAGCGCCGTGAGACTCAAATTGGCCTCTCCTCAATGACAGCAGAGCTTTAGATACGTTCGTCGCAATTTGCATGTTTCGAGGACAGGCGTCTGCCGTACTCTCTTCAAATCGGCAATTGGAAGGAAGATTGGGCGGCGAGAATGTGGATGATTCGGTGGCTGAAAGGACCTGGAGATATGTTCGTAGTTCTATCTTCCGACTCAGGACGCGTATTGTTGATTGCAGTGGGATGGTCCTATCGGAGAGAACAGACCACTATGTGTGGACAGGCTTGCCAGGGAACCGCGGTGTTTCAAAGAGAAACATGTGCACACATGTTTGAAATGATGGGAATGATCATACCCTGATCATTACCCTGGCTTCATCCCAGCCTGCTGCTGGGCAAGCGTCAGTTCCATGTTTGTCGGGAGGATGTTGGCGGCTGATGATCTCATGTGCATTAACGAAAAGGGATCGTCAGGAACGCTCCAAACAAATGACTTTAGTCCGAATACTATCCGCAGCCACCACGTTCAACGACCATGATCATTTGTTTTGTCATGAGTACTTCAAGTCGTAGCATCGCCTGAAGATCATGAAGGGATTGGTCTCCTATAACTTGGAAGCCAAATTGGGCCTTCCGACGCCGCTCTAGGTCGCAAGACTAGCCCTCTGCAATCAAGCTGCGCATGTGTTCAAAAATGGTGAAGACGGAGATGGTCGTAGACCATGAGAAAGAAACAATCCATCTCCTGTCCTAAGAGAAAGTACGCCTCAGAGAACGCAAGAATAGAGCAAGGATTCCGGTCATTCGGCCGAAACAAAAGTTTGCGAAAGGCTTAGACAACACTACCTACCTCATCAGTCTCTAGACGCACACCAGGAGAGAATGAATACCGACCAATGCTTCGCTATAAGGAAATGAAGTCTCTGGTGCTACGATACGAACAATAGGCGTTCGCCGACGAAAAACTAGAGATATTAAATTCTCAGCTCCGTGATATGTAGATTATTGTTACTGTTCCCAGAGTGGCGTCTGGATAGACCGTATCCCAGATGGACCTGAAGACTATAGCAATATAGGGTTATTAGCCAACGGAGATGAAGACAAAGATGAAGAGTCAGTTGGTGTTCGCTTGATATGAATAGCCCCCTCGGCCTCTTATTAAGCGGAAGCGAAAACTCTAGTAGCAGTCGGTGGCAGTGAGGGGAACGAATCATAAGGCGCACAAGCGCATTCCAATTATTCAGCACACCGGGGGGTAACAACATCGGCCTGGGCTCAAGGAGTCAGGGTTGGACCATGATGAAACAAAGCAGCTGCGTCCCGCTACGATACTGCTACCGCTACCTCTACTGCTACTGCCATTGCTACTTCTTCTACTGCTACCAGCCAGTACTGAGATTGGACAGTAGTGCTGCCTTTTGGAGTTGTGTCAGCCGCTAGAATGTTGCATCCGAATGTTCCATCTTCCATCTTCCGTGTTCCATCTTGCACTGTTCCACATGCCACATGGTCATGAAAGGATGGTCCGCGTCATCTCCGTCGGATACGGACGGACTTATCGCCGCCCCCGTCTCTACGGAGCCCTACGAGCACGTTGTCGTTCTCGTGCCACTCATCACTTAGAAAAGGAAACAGATGACTCAGACCCTAATTCTGTATTTTGAAATCTCGAGATGGAGATGATGAAGAAATTCATGGTCATACCAGTGCCCGGTAGACATAGAGTATTAGCCAATTCGGATCCAGGGGATCAGTGTGGGGATGGAACCATGGAGTTTCAGCCGCACCACATGTTTCATGCACGCTAATCCCGATCTAGGCAACGGAGCAGAGAATGACTCTCTGCACAATGCACATGCTTCTGAAGGGTGAGTAAACCGAGGATGAAAAGGGCACTTATCTGCCACCGCCATTTGGCTGATAAATCCCTGTGGTTTGCTCCGAAGCTCCAATCTCTTTTCCCAGTCAATGCAGCCTTCTCGTGTAATCAGAGGCGAGTCGAGTCACGGGAGGGAAGAATGATGCCAAAGCTCGGAAACCCCGAACGGGCGCCCTATGCGAAGCCCGCACGCAATGGCCCGTTCGATAGTCGTCAAACTCGGCGTTTGGCTTGCGAGGCCAGGGTGAAATCCTTGGTCCCATGACGATGGTAACTCGCGAACAGCCTTCTCACCTTTTCTGACCGCCATTCCAGGCACCGGGCATTTCGCGCAGCACTGCCCACTACTGCCCACTTTGTAGGAGCTGATAGCCTGATGGAGATTTGTCTGGCTCGCGCCGATTTGATAGGAGCCCATGATTAGATATGCCATTAATAGTAGCCGGGAACCGCTTATTAGTCTTGATTCCACAATGGTGACTAAGTCGAGGAAAAAGACCAGTATACGGTTTAGCTCACCTGAGCCCTTACCAGAAGAGGAGACCAAGTCGCGCGATTTGTGCAGCCCTATGGCACGTTCTATTGTTAATCCAAGCTAATATGGTCAAGTGGAACGGCTTGATGCTGGCTTCGCCTAAATCCGCAGTCAAAGCCCCGAGGTCCATGGGGAGGGAAAGGCTAATTGTCAAATTGACTGGTGGAGAGTGCGTTGAAATGCATTGCTATTGGTGCATTATGATGTGCATC